GAATGCACTTGTTTAGCAGTTATTTTTGGCCTAGTGTTTTGGTAACTGAATATTTTTTTTAAAAAACTATCTCTTTTCCTACTCTTTAAATGGTGCCTTTAATTTATAATGTTCACTTTTTATAACATTCTATTAACTGTCTTGCTAATGCAAAATAGATGGTGAAAATTAAATAGATAATTATTTAAATATAAGTAATCCATGCATCATTTGACTGGAAGAATTTCATAATGACTATAGAATTTCATTATGATTTGCATCTAATAAATTTTATTAATTATATTTACTGTTTCCAAAATAGTAGAACTTGTTACTTATTATGGAAAATATGATTTATAAATCTATACTTTTGCTTAACTTTCTATAGAAAATAAGTTATTTCTCTTTAAATATAGTTTTGCTGATCACTGATGCATACCTTAAATTCTAGGTTACCAGAATTATTCCCGTGAAGATCATCCATATCATGTAAACTCTGGGAGCAGAATTATTTCAGTTGAAGACAGGCAAACTAATTATTCTGTACCTAAAAATGTTTCTACTCATCGTCGTTTAAAAATTAATTCCCTCCATGAAGTTCTTGAATTACAAGATGGCATTCCAGATATCAATGTTGATCTTTCCTGTTCAAAGAATAATAAAAATTCTGAAGAAATATCTATTAGTCAGGAGGACAAGCATAGTGTAAACATTGATAAAAGTGAATCAGATATGCAAATTGAATCTGATAAAAGTGGACCAGATACACAAATTGAAAAGGCCATAGCTTTTTCAGAACAAAGTAATTTTAATAATACTGGTGGCTTTAAAAGTCAGAAAGGGAAGGGTCAGAAGAGAAAGTTGGTAACCACAAAAAATGTGTCCAAGGTAAGATCCAACAAAGACAAAAACTGCAATAAGCATGCAGGACCTAAACAAAAAGCAAATACACCCATTCATTCCAATGATGCTTATGATTTTATTAGTGAAGAGTCTGTTCATATAACACCTTTCCGGCAAAACAAACAAAATGAACATGTTGATGACAAAGATTATACAGAAGAAGGAGAAATCTGCAGTGGTGAATCTGCTGTTTCAGAAGAAGATCCTGATGATAGTCTCTATGTGCCTTATTCAAAAAAATCAAAATCCAATGAATCTTTAAATACTGGAACAGATGTAATCCCACTACGCACAAAGTCACGATCAAAGAAAACTCTGTCTGAGCAACATGATATAAATCCTAAAGGGAAAAACAGGAATACCAAGACACTTGAATCTCATTTGGGTAAGAAAATTCTTGTTTTTTATGTGTATTATTATATAAATGTATTACTTTAGAACATGGTTCTCAATCTCCAGTACTGGAATCAAAAATAGTACATAGTTGCAGATTCTAAAGTGTGTGCATTATTTCAAAAGATTTTTAAAAAATAAATATGCACAAGCCCATTGCAATATAAGCTTTAAAATTGGCCATACTTTGAAGGTAGTCAACAAAGCATTAAACTTGTGTTTTAAATGAACAAACTGTAGTGGTCATAATTTAAGAACAACTAAATATTGTTTATATTGAGTAATATATTCAAATTTTAAAGCTGAGTGAATTTCCTTCAGATTAGTGTTGCCTGAAATGGGGGTGGTGGTGGTGGAGGAATAATAATGGTAACTATTGGGGGAAAAGTGATGGTACTTTCTTTAAACAGATGAATCATCTGAGGCACTTCAAAAACATCATCTCAATGATATTACCAATGTTGCATCAACTTCTTACCAAACAAGAATTTCTCACCTAGACTTCAGTACTGCAGCAAAAGATGCTACTCATCAAAGACATAGACGTACAAGTTATGTGAGTTACAAGGAGCCAAGTCTCAGTGGGTTAGTATCTTTGTTTCTGGATTCTCTTAAAAGTAAATTATATAGTCTTACAATTTTTCCTGCTGTAAGAACTATATTAATTTCACATTTTTATTATCATTTGAATTGTTTCAATTTACCAAAAAAATTCTGATTTGTTTTGATAGGAAACTCAGAAGAGGAGACCCATTTACAGATACCAGCTTTCTGAACTCTCCCATTTTTAAAGAGAGAAAGAACACCAAATCGAAATCGCTTAATAAAAAGTCACTGTCCAGATATAACGAAGCATTTGTTGGCTATTAAGATACTTTTCATGGAGTATACTTAGATTCTCATTTATATTCTGAAAGTTTATGAACTAAAATTCTGGAGATGGAGCGTATGCATGTTTCTGATCTAGAGTTATGAATACTTTGATAATATTTTATATCATACATACACTGCCTTCCAGAATTTATCTATTCAGAAAGATATGAATGATAGAAAATAATAGGTTGAAATGCAGATCATCATTTATTTGCTAAAAAATGCAGTTCATTTTAAGAGTCTGTCATTAGAAATAAAGTTAAACCGTGTTGTATTTTCTGAATTATTACTTGCTTAATGGCATTTATAATAAAATTTTGAATAATTTTTATTAAAGGTAATTTGGTTTAATTATCACTAGCATGTTTTCAGCCTCCGTTTTCTTGCAACTATTCTAACAGTTTGTAAAAAAATAAGCTGAATATGTTATCTTGTAGGTTTATATTTGTATCTAAAATTGCCTTTTTTTGTCTTTTGTGTCTAGATTGTAAGCCTATATCAGTGGTTTAACTAGTTTTTCTAAGTAGATATCTTTTAAGGAGAATGTAAAAGTCATAATATGTTTTGATTTCACTTGAAACCTTATATTAATGTCTGTATGAAAACGAAATTCCATTGAATTTGCTACTGCACAGTGTGTTCCAGCTCTTATTATCTGAAGGTGTTATAGCATATATTCTATTTCATAAAATGAAAGTACTCTACAAACAATGAGTATGTGGTATTTTTATATGCAAATTACAAAATAGCACACAAGATCAAAGTTTTACATATAATTTAAACCCATTTTATACCAGTACAATAAATAATTTTACAAATGTAAAATTTCAGTTAAAGTATTTAAACACATACTGTGTATAACTTTATTGCACAATATCTATGAAAATAATCTTTAAATTAGAAACCAAAATGTCCTCAATATAGAAGAGACTCTAATTTCAAGACAATAAGAATCTTTGAAAATAACACTTTCACAGGATATCAAGCTTTAGAGGTGACTCTGTTGGCCCAGTTTACAAAATACATGAAAATTACATCATTGTACCTTAAATACAAAGCTCATTCTGGTTTATATAAAGCGCTAAGGCATTTCTATATTACTATTTTGTGTATTATGTACCATTTCCTTCTAGCAATGTTCATCTAATCAGAATAGAACATTACTACAGGCATTGTGCCAAAAAAAACCTCCTTTGTAATGTCGTTTTTTACTTTCTACAACAGTTTACTAGTGAAATATTTCAGCATGAACAGTGTCTGTGTGTACATAAGCGTGTACACACATACATACATAAACATACTAGGGGTATCTTACTTTCCCCTCCAGTGTTGAGATACATTGTAGAACTGAGTGGTTAATGAGTATGGCTTCCCTAATAACTAATGATATCAAATGAAGTTTATTTCTTGTGTATAATGTAACAAATAGCTCAAATATATATGGAATTAATACTAAAATTCAAGTTCCTAATTTTAAAAAACTAGTATTAATCCAAATAAAAGTTAACAGTGGGATAACAATCTACTCAAATCTGCTTTTATAAAATTGTTTTATCTATGGTAAGATGCAAACCAAATTGTATACTAGCTGGCATTGGGTTGGATGCAGTCAAATTCTGAGCTAACCACTAAAATCTATCAATCTTGTTAGTGTCTTCAGATTTCAGTATATTTTCCATCACTACAATGCAAACAGTTATGAAAAAACTATGCATATCAGCCTTTATTATATAGTTAAATGAGAGGTACTCATCTGCACTAAAACTAGATATGGTTTCTTATAAATTAGGTATTACTGATCCCATTGTGCAGTTAAGTACACATTCTTCAGGGATGTATGCTTTAGGTGTATATTTATTTATCAACATACTGTATTCAGGGCTACAGTCTATATGAGAATTCAAATTTTTGTCCATTCCACCCATTCATTGTATTATATTTTTGCAAAATGGCTTCCATGCATCAAGAACCATACAAATTTAAAGACAAAGCTATTGCTAAATTGGTTCCCATAGTAGAAATAGTACTTTTCTAAATCTATTAAAAGACTAAACAACAGTTGGGAGCTTAACACAAAGTCTGATGTTCTTTTCAGAACTTGACCTAAGTGAAAATGATGTTTCATTTTCCTTGAAATGCAAATATTAGGAACCAAGGTCCAATCTGGGCCAGTCATGGGACAGAGAATCTTCTGAGGTTTCAACTTGTGCTAGACCCCATCCTTGGAAACCCATCCTCAGCTCTAAGGATGGCTCCAGCACAAGTCTAAAAGGTTGGAAGACAACCTCTGGTCCCACTGACTGACCCAGATTGGATCCTGCAACATCCTGGGTCATGTATATTTGCCTTCATTCTAAGAATCAAATTCACAGAAGAAATTAAACTTCCACCTAATAAGGGAATTCCTTTCTTATAGCTTAAGCACCTTCTCTTAGTGAATGCTTTATTTGTATGTGTGTATTAACTGTATGTATTGGTATATACCGTGTTTCTCATATAATAAGGCTGGGTCTTATTTTTTTTTGAGCCCCGAAAAAATGGCTAGGTCGTCTTTTTGGGGGGTGACTTAATTCCCCTCCCTTGCATCTTCGGGCGGACGGGCGGCGATGGCTTGGATGTTGACCTCGGCATTGGTGGGGCACTTTGTATCGGGGTCAACGCAGGCAGCACCATATCCGGGTGTGCAACAAAAGTACTTCCTAACGGCAAGCCCCCCCACCATTCCCCCCATTTCACATGTTTTAATACAGGACTTAATTTGGGGGGAGGGGCTTAATTTCATTTCATGCCTATAAAACATGCTGGGACTTCCTATTGGGGGAGGCCATATTGTTGGAGAAACAGGGTATTATATATAATTCATAATATATATAATTCACTTCCCCTTCATTAACGTCTTTGCTGTAAAAATAATCCATTTTTCAATCTGATACATTAAGCTTAAACATTCACTGCTTGGAAATTTACCCTTTCCAAATCTCCAAACAGTTTGTGCAATACATCTAATAAAAATTGAATACACCGCAAAAGGGCATGCAAGTGTACATTTAAAAATACTTTAATAAAATAAACTCTTCTATATTACATGTTTAAAAGTGCTAGTTAAGAAAGTTTTATTTTATAAACAAGTTTCAAATCTAGTGAAAGAACTGCATATTTTGCTATTACATTAGGCATCTTAATTGTATGAGAAGAAAATTATTTGTCAATTAATCCAGCTTCTTTAATTTTTGTGTAGAAAAATTTCTCCAGTATATTGGCACATTTGTAATATTCACTTTCTGGTGGGTTGTATTCTCTGCAGTTAGTAAACACTCGTTGCATATCTGCCATGAATAATTTTTTAGATACGTAGTATCTGTTCTTCAATCGTTCACTCATAGTTTTCAGATCTGTATAAGAACAAACATCTTATTACTAGAATATCTGGTTCTGTGTTTTCCCCCTTTAGTGAAAAAATGGCTCTTCACTGAACTTCAGTTATTTCAGTGCTACATAAAATCAGTATATATATAATCACATTGCCTCCTTTTTGCAGCCAAAGCATAATTCTTTATAAATTATAATGAATCTATACCATCCAGTTGCAGAAAATGAATGTGGACAGGTATTCTGTTGTTTTTAGGAGTGGGATGAGTAAAAATAATTTTACTGTAGAGGAGAATGCTGCCTTTTAAAGTACATAATTATTGTTTGGATAGAAGCAACTTTCTTTAAGCAGAAAGCTTTCCTTACAATCTATTTCTGAACAAAATGATTGCTGATGACACAGGTGAACCCAAATACTAAAATTCCTTGCATGAGCTACCACAAGAAGTTTTAAGATCATGTTCCTATGTATTTGCTTTTTCTAATCAAGGTATCACTAAACTTACACTGAAAAAGTTTCTGATGTTTGTGCAAAATTGATGGAACAAGCACACTTTTACACTTCCATATTTTAAAATTTATTTTCACTTTCTGTAAAGGTCTTTTTAAAATACTAATGGCCTTACCCATAGGAAATCTTATAACTTCATAATATCCAGGAGCCTCTGTTCTCTTCACTGGTTCCATGAAAGGCCAAGCACTTTGGTGGCTCTAGGGAAAAAAAGTATTGATCAATGTCTTATATCAGAAAATGTTTCATGATATTTACAAAAACAAAACATACCTTGACCTGTTGCAGAATGTTTTTTAGTGTGCTGTAAAGTTGATCCAGATCTTTGGGTTCTTTACTTAAAACAAAATACAGACAAGATTAAAATGTGTGGTCTTTACTGTTATTTTAACTAGCCAACAACCCACCAATGATAAAACTATTAATGACAAAATTCTATATTCTGCTGTTAAAAATACAGATTCAATTATTTTTAAGGAATGTATTAACAGTCAATTTGAAAAGAGTTTTATTTAATTTATTTTACTCAACAATGCTTACCTCTTCTCTTTATTATTTGGTTTCCAGCCAGTCTCTCCTATGCAACAAGCAAAATTAAAGCAAAAGGCAAATAAAAAATGGTAAGTTACAATGTATGGCAAGCGTCTTCAAACTTGGCAAGTTTAAGACTTATGGAGCAGGAATCCTGGGAGTTCAACTCCACAAATCTTAAAGTGTCAAGTTTGAAGACCCCTGATGTACGGTCTTAAATCCATATACTCTACTTCAGAGGATAAGCCAATATTCAGATATATCTGAATATCTTAAGGAACAAATTCCCAACAATAATTACCTACATACAAATCAGTCAAGAAACCATCAGAACTCTACCAGTTTTTATTTTTAATTCCCAAATACTATAAAAATAATGGTAATGTAATTAATTCTGGCTAATAACAAGAAAATAAAGATTCCTGCCATGATACACAAAGTGCATAATTGTCAATAAAATTTTATAAATAACTTAAAAGTGTATCATTTCTGGAGAAGAGAATCCAGTAGTTTAAAATTAAATTAAACCAATGTTTGCAGAAAAGGGTAGAAATTAAACATGACCTTGGAAAGTATAACAAACAGCTAAAAGCATGGGTACATACTAATTCCAGGAATACTTTCTATGGGAATCTGTCGTACTCCATCTTTGAAACAAGAAAGGCCAGGATAAACTTTCTGAATCTGTGCTTGCTTCCTTTCAATTAATTTTTTGATGATCTGGAATAAAGACAGGACAAAAATAGAAGTATAAAAAGCAATATTATTTTAAATGTGATTAATCTTTGAACAGTTCGTTCATATTCATAAGTGAATGTTCAGTAAAAAGTGAATATTTACAGGGGAATGAAGATATGGATCTGAAATATATAAATTAAGATATTGATGTTTGTAAGCCATTTACCTAATGTAGTAAATGCAAATGTGAATGTGGAACTCATCTGTAGCACATTTATCCAATTTGCTTCTTTCTTTGATAATGATACTGAAGGGCACCACTATCATGCATGATCAATGCCTACATTTAGAGTTGTATTTCTCACGCTAGCCTTTCTCTTCTCATTGGCTCTGATAGTTTGATTTGGCTCAGTGCTGCCAGCAACCAGGTGGTTCTCCCACTTGGAAGAAATGTTGAATATGTATAGTTGCAGGTACTGATAACCCTAGGAATTCAAGGTTTCACATAATTAGAAATATAATTGGACTCTTCAGATCTGTTCAGAATCCAGTCTCATTGGAAATTCAGGCAGATGTTCACAGTCAACTGGGTTTTTTTATAAAAGTATTTGCAGATTTCTCCCTCCCACCCACTCACCCTCTCAGAGGTCAGTCAGAGAAAAAGCAAAATTAAGGGCATATAGAGATCCAAAATATTTGAAAATCTTGATTTTAAATCCTTCATTGCTCAGATAGTTTGTAGAGGCAATGTAGACAAACATTAGGATTAGCAAGGAATTAGTGACATATTTTGATTTATTAAGAAAAGTCTAGAAATGTAGACCTCATTCTGAAGTAGCCTGCTTGTATTCACTCTTGCTTGTTGAACACAGAAGGTGGGGGGAAATTTTCAAGTAACTTCAAAGCTTTTTTTCCTATGATAGTCTCACATTTTCAATTCTCATCCCAGAGTTATGTGCCAGCAAGTCAAGGTCAGGTCTTGCAGTCTTCTTGGCACATGAAATCATGGTGCCAAGTTTTTATAAAAACTATGGGGTTATTATTAGTGGGGAGCTTCTGCAGTGGAACCTAGTGCTGGGTACTGTTGAAAAATTAACCGTGCTTGAGGCATCTCTCTTGTCTATTAAGGAGGTCATGACAGCCTGTAAGAGATTTACAACATATTGTTTGGTATGTATGCTTTTTAACTTATGCTTTCAGATGTGTTTGTTTGAGATAATAAAGCCTAAAATCCCTTTATTTGCTGGAGTCTCTAAGTCAAGATGAACCAATTGCCCGGTCATGTGATCGCTGCCCTGATATTTGGCAAAACATAATTGGTAACAAAGATGGGATCCAGTGACAATGCACTGGTTCTAGAAAAGGCAAAGAAATGGAAGCCAGAATTATATTGCTGGTTGGCTCAAATGTTTGGGAACCAGTGGCTCAAACACCAGCTGACCTCACCTACATGCCTGCAGAAATTGGCACAATTTGGAGACACTTCTCCTAATGCAATGCATATCATTATTGGGAGTGGGAGAGAAGACAGGGAAAAGTCAGTGGATGAACTAGTCTTTCTTATTAGGCTCCATAATGCCTGGGAGCAATTAGAAGCTTCTCAGCTAAAGGTACAACAGCAAGCTGAAGAAATAATTATAAAAGTCAGCAGACCCTTTTAAGAGAGGCACTGGAATGTGCATATGGGAATTCGGCAAAGGAACAAGAAGTAACTATGGCTGTTCAGCTTGCAAAATTCAATTAAATTAAAATTAAACCACCATAAACAGTTGAAGAAAGGGTATATACACAATCCTTATAAAGATAGACCTCTTATCTCATCCCAGCAGTTAAATCCAGAAACCTGAGATGGATATATGTGGGATTTGATGATGAGGAATCCAGTTTGACTAAGCAGGATAAAGGAGTTGAGAATGCTTGGGTGGCTAAGATAGGACTCTTTGTCACTAATAAACTTAAGAAGCCACCTGGCAATCCAGATGCTAGTCAAGGAACACAGACTGGCAGATATTATAGCTGGAGTCAGTTAACTATCTAAGATATTAATAGGAAGAAGTCAAGAGAGGCCCATTTAATGAAAGGAGCCCTTTCCTATATGCATAATCCCTAGATAAGTCCAGGGCTGCAAATATCTATAGGGGAGGTCATTGTGTTGATAGAGCAATTAAGAGATGCTCAGAGAAAAAATGCTCCCCACACTTGTACCCAAGTAGCTAAGGGAGGAGGCAGTTTTGAGAAAAGAGAATCCAATAATAGAATTTCATAAGTGAAATGTTTATAGAACTTAAAAAGATGTGCCAAAAGCATATATACATTGTCTTCCAAACTTAGAGTAGTATAAAAGGTGGAAGGAAAAATGTTCCCCTGATGGGAAAAAGGGGTTAAGAAAATGTGCAGGTGAGGGAAACTATCCAACTGCACCACCCGAAGAGCAATTATGTCCTCTACGTAGAAGAGAAATTGGGAGTGGATGATGCCCCAGCCTTTGGATTAGAGGTGGTAAAATTCCAGTGGTAAGGGTAATAAAGACAGCAATCCCTGGAGACCAACAACGTAATTTACCCTTAACAATTTAATGATCTATGAATTGTTTCAGACCCCAGTGTAGTTTTGCTTTTGAAATCCCAACTATTTTAAGTGGGAAGAGCAAAACTGACACCTTTGAAAATATCCCTGCAATACAGTTAAACAATACTGGTTGAAGGGGAGGTGGGCAATAAATCTGAAATCATAGGAAGGGGGGGGTTGGAAGTTGTAATTTTAAGACTAAATGTATCTCCTTTTTATTTCTTTGCATGACCTCTGAAAAAGCTAACAGGACATGAATAATGACAGAATATTACTGTTAATTAATTAAGCATGCCCCATTACTGTCAGCAATGCCTGGAAATTTTATACAATATATAAATATTGATTATTGTATTTTTTTGTCTTTAGTAATTCATTTGGAGGCACTTAATACAAAGAGAATGAAATCTGGTATGTTTTTGCTTTATAAACTTTGATATAATTCAGTATGTACATTTGACCAACGTAAAATGTTTCTTTTAAAGCCATGGAAAAGAAAGTCTAACAATATAGAGAGTCATTTGTGGTGATTGATTGGGAACTTAGGGCCACTCATGGTCTTTCACCCTAAGGAGGCATTGACAAACCACTTCCCAAAAAGTTACCACTAATGCTAAAAGTCAAGACTGATTTAAAAACAAAAGAAAGACTAAGGGATAATCCCCAGCCCAGGACTGTCAAAAGAAAGGAGAAGCAGATAATGTTGTTTCTATTTCTGGCATCAGTTAACTGAGAACACATGAAAATGAACTGTTTATTAATGTGGCAGAACTTGCTAGCTATAATCACACCCAGATCAAAAGCATGCAGCCATGCAAAAATTGTGGAAGGAGTAGCCAAAGTCCACCTGGGGAGACAAAAAAAAAGTGTGGGGGGGAATCAGAGGTTGTGTACTGATTTAGGCATTTATTGGAAAACAGAAACATGCAAAAAATAATGTGGACATGGGAGCTGAGTGCACCCCTATGCATGGAAAGTGTGCAAGATTTCAGGAACCCACAGTTTACATTGATTGGGATCTTTTTAGTTCCCTAGAAAGAGCATAAAAGGAGTTGTGAATAAATTATTTTAATTTGTTAAATTTGGAAGGGTGAGGGGAAATTACTTTTTACTTTAGTGTAAAAATAATTATAGTAAATTTCCTAGATGTTCTGTTCTTTATTAGAATAATATTTGAATTTTATAAATATCGTTTCCTAGAATTGTTTCTGTTAAGAAAAGTGATTGCTCTTTTTGAGGAAACTCAAGTAGTCTCTAAGAACAAATTTGCTTATTGCTATCTGTTGCGCTGCCCACAAAAATATTTTGCATTCCAGTTTTTACCCATAATCTTACTCCCTGTCTTACAACAAGAGTCTAGCAAGGCTCTAATTCAGGCCCTCCCTAGAGAAAAGGGAGGAAAGGTTGAATTGAGGTTGCAAGTGCCTTTGCTTATGGCAGCGATAAGAAGGAATCAGGAAAGTAATATTGATGGGATTAAATGGGAAAAGGTCCCAAATGATGAGGACGCAAGCCAAAAATGTTTGTATGGAAGACGGAAGAAAATTATCACTGCTGACAGTGTAACAATGATTGTAAGTGATTCAGATAGAAAGGATTGGATCTTATAGGAAGATGTTATAGCTTTTAAATTTTACATATTTGTCCCTCAACAGGGCACATGATGCATAAAAGGGAGAAAAAGGAAATATGTTTAGAACAATGCTTGATGGAGCTTCCATGGATTGGTATTTGTGTGTCTCTGTGTGTCCATGGATGCTTTCTCTCTCTCTCTCTCCCTCCCTCCCTCCCCCCTCTCTTTTGGGAAATTATATGGGAGTTAAATACTATTAAATTTCTTTGCAGTTGAATTATACAATGTCTTAGCTGAACAGAAAACAGGTTTTGTCATAAGGTAACTTGAAATCAGTTGTACCTTGTCAGGCATTGTTGTGATTATGTTAATTGTTGATGATTTATCTTTAGTGCAGAAGTATTCATGGGACTTGCAAACACACTTACAAACCTGAGATGGATAGCTAATCCTAATGAACCCAAAATACCAGGTTCTGGTTAAAAAAAAAAACAGACAGGAGTCCTGTGGTCAGAAAGGACAGAGGTTTTACCTCCCACCATCCTTTCAGCGAGATAAAACTTTTAGTTCAATAAGATTATTATTTTTAAATAAATTTTATTAAATTTACAATTAAAAACATATCGACATTACATACACAAAAAAGGAAGAAAAAAAAACACTCGGCCTTACGAACCGGAAAGAGAAGGAGATATAAAAGAAAGGAAGAAACAAAGGAAGAGAAAAAGAAATGAAAAGAATACATTTAAAAAACAGATAATATCCTTTTTGACAGTCTGCAAGATCCATTTCTCCTAACTTGATTTGAATGCGCACATCTTATCGGTATCTATGCTTAAATTACCCATTGTCTTTTAAGCAGTTTATCTCTGGATTAACCAGTTATACCAAGAGTTCCAAT